TATAGCAACAAATAAATTAAATTAAGTTTAAAAGTATAAAAATAAATACAATAACAAATAACATAGAGTTATCCAAATAACAAAAGCAATATACATCCCCTCACGAGTCCTTTCTTAAATATGGCTCTTCTGTCTTCTTATGGGACTGTCCGAATAGATTTCAGCTGTTAATCCATTTCCATTAATGTATCTTCTTTTTCCCGGTTAAATCTTTGTTTCGCATCTTCTGATGTCACTTCCGGTGCGTTGATCTTCTGTGGTATTTCTTGATGACGTATGCGTTCCATTCAATCGTTGCAATGTAAAAATAATATGATTAAAAGAGTTGTAATGAATGAATGAATATAAAATAAAAGTAAGAAATGAAAAATAAAATATAAATAGATATGAATATGAAAATAAAAATATATAATAAAAACTAAAAACTAAAAATAAATTGAGAAGAAAAATCATATAAAGAAAAGAAAAAAACTAAACATATATAGAAAAAATATATGAATAAAAAATATATATATGGAGAAAAAAATAAAATAGAGAAAAAAAATAAAATAAAATAAATATATTTACTCTCACTCTTCACTATTCATTTCTGCACATTTTTTCCTTTTTTCCTTTCTTTCTCTGACTTTTCCTTCCTCTTTTGATCAAAATCACATTGTTTTGATCACTTCACTTTGATTTTTACAGCACTTTCACATCAGTCAGTTTTTGCCTCTCACTTGTGGTCCTTCACAGCTCACCACACATACTCCCATCACTCTCAAACACTAACTCCTTTCCCATTACTTTACTTCACCTAACTCTTCACGCTGAGCACATTTCACACACCTTCCACTACATCTTTCACCCAGTTCCTATGTATATCATTCTTCTCCTCCATGATAGATTTTATTATTCATTTTATTATCTTTGTACATTTCACTTTTCCACATCAATTCTGTACACACTCCGTACCCCCGGTCCCTTACGTGTACGTCACAGGCTACCGTTAACTTCTGTCGTCACCATGACAGCGTGATGCATGTACATGTCATCACGCTATCACACACCGGACACGGTACTCAGCTTGTTTACTCAGTTCACTTGCACTTAGTGAGTCACTTATTCTTATTTTATAGATACTATATAAACATATGTTAAGCACTGTATTGCCATCTTGATAAAGACCGTCAGGTCGAAACATTGATCCTAATTGGCAACATTTAATACACTTATTTTAATTGGAAATCAATTGAGTGCATTCATCTTCATTATTTGTTTACACACACATATATATATATATATATATATATATATGTGCAATATATATGTGTGTGTGTGAATGAAAAATGCATACTAAAATGTAGACGGAAAAGAATGGATGGGGATCGGGAGAGTGGATATATAAAGATAATATATAATGATAATGTTTCAGTTGATCTCATACATTATAAAAGGATAATATATAAAGGTAATGTTTCAGTTGATCTCATACATAGCATACAAAAACAAAAAGTGGCCAACTTCTCTCAAGAATTAAATTTAAAAATTTATATAAAAGAGAAGAAAAGATAACTGTCTCAAAACCTTGTACTGTTAGTCAAAAAACTATCATTGCGTACTACAATACTCCTATTTATTTTGGAATATATATTTATATATATGTGTATATATATAAATATATATACTGTACCAATAAATAGGTATTGTAGTATACTTTTTTTGACTAACAGTACAAGGTTTTGAGACAGTTATCTTTTCTTCTCTTTTTCTACAGAAACAATACAGATCAATATAATGGAATTTCCATTTGTAGTGTAAGACACAAATAATACACTGATTAGGTAGAGGAGAAGTGGGAATCATAAATAGCAGAAGATAGTTCTAAGGGTGACAGATGTAGGAGGTAGGGAGTAATCAGAAAAGGCCAGGCACGTGAGAGATTGTAATGCCAGCATTCCTGTATGCATACTTATTTAAATGTCAATATGAATGGTGATTGCAGAAGTATTTCTTTATTATATATTTCTTTTATATATTTCTTTCTTTTCTGTTTTGTACACTAGTCAAGTGATATGTTTATATTATTTTCAGTCTGGAGTTGGTCAGATCTTTGGCATTAAAAATGTCTGTTTTGCTGTAAATTCTACATGTATATAAAACACATCTTGATTAGTTTGCTTCCAATGGTTCATGACACCTGAAACCATTTTTTATTATTAGTTAGAAATATTTGCTACTTGTGTTTACAGGTTTTTTTTTTTTTTTCTTCCATGGAACATTTTCTTAAATATAATGATCAAAATGTTTTTAATTAACATTTTCCAGTAATAATATGAAAAAACTATTTATTATCACTAAAATATGTTTATGTAGTTATAAATATGCATTAAATATTCAGATTTTATTGAACTATATGTTTTACATTTTGACTCTTGGTTTTAGAGCTTATCATTTTATAGCATCTACCAATACCTTTTGTCAACATTTTTTAAAATAGAAAATGTTAAAGTGATTTAAAAATATTAAATATGTAATTTCTCAATTATTTTAAGATGGACCTGTTATCTACACAGCTGTAAGTACCATTCAATATAGTTACAGCTATGATGTGTGCTATTCACAGTTCAAACTGTTGGCTTGTTTTAGGGATATATAATTTAAAACGTTTGGACTATAGTATCTCAGTAAAGCTTAGTTCAGTAGCATATGGGGCAAACTGCACAACTAATTAACTCCTTTGCCTTCATTTCACAGTCTAAGGCTGCCAGAACTAATCGGCTCCTCCATAAGACAGGATCAATTTAATGGGGAATAATAGTCATATAAATTCTGTGACAAGTAGTGCAGATTTCTGTTCTCCCTGGCATAAAGATAAGGTGGAATTCTAATATAGACATATTCATTATTCTAATAAATGAACACTACTACATGGGTTTATCCAAAAATACCGAACAGTAAAATGTAGAATTTAGGAATTTGACAGTTCATTTTTTAAAATAATGAATATTATGTTTAATACAAGGTGAACAGCTACCTTTAACTCCCAAAACTTTCACGCAATGTAACAGAAAGGTTTTCATGTAAAGCATTGCTCCAATATGGTATTTTATTTAAATTTTGCATACTATAAATATAGTTTTGGCTTTATACAGAATTTGTATTACCTGTCAATTAATACATTAATGTATATCATTTGGGATACATGGTTCAGTTCACCATTTATTTCCTAGCACTATGACTAATTATATTTACCCCTCAAGCAGTAGTAAGAACAGAAACCTCCCAGGTATATGGAGCCTCATAATTTTCAGTACCTTTATTCAGCACTCAAGCTGATTCAGCCTGTTTTCCAATTTTGTTTTCCAAGAACAGCAGGTGTTGCCTATCTACAACTGCTATGATATTGCTAAATTATCAACCACTATCCTCAACTGGATCCCAGTAATCGTATCTCAATATTGAATAAAGCAAATTCAAATGATGACATTTTTGAAGACTTAGAGGGTTATTCTCTAAAGTTCAAATGGTGACCAAGTGGAGCAAAATCTCAAACTGTGTATTTGGCCATGCGGACTTAAAACGTGGCTTAACAATGTCCAGATTTTGTAATTCAGGCCTATAACGGTGCTGAATTTGGTCTGAATTTCAGCCAGATAGAACACGACCAGACAGCTGAAATCTGGACATAATTCTGCAATCTGGGCTTAAAGACTTTAAATTCAGGCCTGGATATTAAACAAATTGGAACTTTTTGACTGCTGGCAGCATAGCAGGGGCTGGGGGTTCATTAGGTCTTTGGCCAAGATTATTATTATTAGGGCTTCAACACGCCACCAATGGGTAGGTGTTGGGTCCTCTTCCCTGGTATTATAAAAATCCCCACCCACTGACCATTTGTGGGGATGGGACATAATAATGTTTCACCCTTTTATTGTTATCCTTAAACAAGCATCACAATTTTTTTTCTTTTTTGACAAATAATTTTGGTTTAGCTCAATTTTTTCGCCATTCACAAATCTATTGATGTGTATGCTGAGAAACTACAGCAAAACATCTACATTTGGACACCTTCCAAGATTCATTAATAAAAGGCAGAATTGTATGTAGTATACCAGATAATGGACTGATGGAAAGGCTACTCAAAGAGCAAGAACTGATTCTGAAAAAGGCATTAAAGTGGCTCTCCCACCAAAATTTTAAGTTATCTAAACAGCTTCAATTAGATTAATGTCTAAAACTATTTTTTTTTTCCTGAAGCTCTAGTTTTCATATAATGTAAAGCAAAGTATGAACTATTTTTTCTTAATGAAGAGCAATCAGGTTGACAATGTGAAAATAGACAAAGATTAAGGCAAAATTATTTTTCAGTTGCCAATCAAACGCAACATGAAACCGCCATTAAAATCAATCTCATTCCAATATAGAATATTAATTATTCTAATAAATAAAGACCATTACAAAGGTTTATCCAAAAACACCAAATAGTAAAATCAATCTCACAGAAGGGAAACAGCAATCATCATGGACAGAGGAGAAAGGATGTCTGTTCCTTAGCCCAAGGAAGAAAAGATAAGAAATGTTACTAAACCAAGATGCAATCATTAAGAAGCCATAAGGAAAGGAACATCACCAAAAATACCCTGCATATAGACAGACCTGTAATAAATGCAGGAAACTAAACCATTATGCATGTTACTACAAAAGCACAGAAAAGCAAGTTAACATGCTGAATGAAAAGCACAATAGAGGAATTTTATATAAAAACACTGATACAGAATGAACAAAACAAGAGGATTGGATCCACTGCAGGTACAAAACATCAATATGCCATTTAAATCAAAACCTGGAGCTAATGTTAATGTGATATTAGACTGAGTCTAATCTGAGATCAAGACCAGTACTACAGGATATTGTTAGGGCAAATGCAAATATTACAAGTTTTAGAATGAAATGTTGTATTTCTTAAACTGTGTACTTTGTCTTTAAGAGATATTGCAAACTGACAAGGTGTTAGAAATGGAACATATTGTTTTTCATACATGTTTCTTTAAGCAATAACCTCTTACCAACTTTTAGTGCATAATATGTTTATGCCAATTTGTCTTAGCTTAATATAAAACAAGTAATGCAATAGCATCTTCAAGGCTATGATACGTCATCAGACCTTAGGAAGCCATCTTGTCCCAATTTAGGGAATTTCCCATGAAGTGTGCACCCTTACGTTTTAGTTATGGACTTGTATCTTTGCCAAGTTAAGGGAGGTCCTAAAATGAATAAAGTAAAAGTAGTTTGACTTTTTCATATATGAACTACGGTAACCCTTAATTGAAAAAAAGGTATAAATATGTGTACCTTTTAAATGTTAACGGACAGAGAGAAAAGATTTGGAGACAGACGCTTCTCCATCTTATAATGACTGAGAGGGATTCAGGAGGGTATGTTATTCTATTTTAATGATATTGCAAGCATGTAGTTTAATCTTATAAACTCTGCTATAAATTATTGTAATGGATTTTATATGTCTATATTTATATTTTTATATAATAAATATCTAAAAAGACAAAAGTGTATTGCTTCCAAGACAATCCTTATTTTATATTGCATTCTCAATTATTTATATATTCTAAATAGAGAATCTCTTACTGACAATATCAAATTATGGCTAAGATATCTGTATGGTTAGCCCTGCTAAGTTCTATGCTTTAAGACGTTATAGTGGTAAATAGGGAAACCAGCTGTGGTTACAATATGAGAATTACAGAATTTGCTGGTGCAAATATACCTGTAAAAGGCAAACGTGTGGCACAAGTCACATTATTCATTGCGATTCCGAGGAATGTTCAAACTGTTTTTGGAGTATCATCTTGTAAAAGACTGAACCTGTTGAAGAGAGTACTAGTGGTAGGAACTGGAAGTATTAAAAAAAATTAAAGTTGTAGAAATACAGGTATTTATTCCAAGGACTTGGTTGTTTGTTAGGTAAACACACCATCAGGATAGACAAAATGGTACAGCCAGTAGTATATTCCTGCAGAAAAGTGCTGTTTGCACTTCGGGACCAACTCAAAGCAGAACTTGATAGGATGGAAAATGCTGAAGTCATTGCAAAAATAAAAGAGCAAATTTAGTGCTTGAATTATCTGGAGATAGAAGATATAAATATATATGTTAAAAAATAAATAAAATTGCAGATTTGCCTTTAAGGCAACAAAAAGAGAATATTTTAAGTTACCTACTCGTGAAGAGATCATGTCACAATTTGCAAATGTTTAGTACGTCAGTAAAATGGATGTTTCCTCTGCATCTTGACAATTAAAGTTGGATGAAACTAGTTCGAAATTGTGAACTTTCAATTCATCATATTCCAGATTGTTATTTGACATTGCATCTGCCCTCAAAGGTATATCTCAAAATCATTTACATGCTATACAAGATACAAGGTGTGGGCACATCCACGGATTGCATTGTCATCTGGGGTATTTCCTAAAAAGCTTGATTCATACTTAATAAACGTTCTAGAAGGTAACCAAAGAAAAATGTCAATAGGCGTAAAATAACTGAAGTTTGTTGGAGACATCACCAGCAATGAAGGGGTCAGTCTTAATAACAATATCTACACTAGAACACGTGAAGAAACCACAAAACAAAACAGATATGCAGTGGTTTATAGGTATGGTAAATTATATGGGAAATTCCATACTTAACCTTTTGGAGAAAATAGCTCCTCTGAGATGGTAACTTGAAAAGAAGAATTAATGGAACTGGAATCATGAGCAAGAAATAGCATGGCCTCACTTAATTGAAGTGTTAATGCATACATGCATGGCAACCAGTATCATATGCTATCTGTTTCATGTCTGGTGCTGAAACTAGATATTCTCAGATAGAGAAAATACATCTTAGGATCACATTTGCATGTGAAGCCTTCCATCATTTTATTTTAGGATGCAGATAATTATGATAAAGTTGCAGGGTAACATACACACAAGAGAAATTGATGTATATGGCTGGTACATTGTCCAGAGCAGTAGATCAACTGGTCCAAATGACAAAGTAGCTGGAGAAATTCAAACGTATGTGTAATATTGCTTTGCATTTTACAGATACAAAGATGGTACGTCACAAACCAGAAAATGATACTACATTGGATAAAGTTAAATTTGCTATTCAAATCAGATGGCCTCAGATGGCCTCACATCAGAGTTGCATATTTGTACAATTGCAGTCGGCATTCTGTAATTTTCAATGGTTGATTGTGATCCATGTTTCTCTATGAACAGAATGCAGTGATTACTGTGCATGTACCTTGCCTCCCAATGCTTTTCTTTGAGGAGCATTCTATTGTCAGAGAGACCACCAGTATTGCCTGGTGGGTGGAGTAGAGCTGCAGCTGCACCTTCTCACCATTGTACCTGAGGTTAGATAACTTTTTATTTTTACAAGTACTCAAAGGAAAGGAAGGAGACTTAGAAAATTGAAGATTATACTAACTTAAGTGTACTAATAATCTTAATTTTAATAATGACAGGAGGCAAATATTTTTCATTAACTTTTTTCCCCACCCTATAGCAGTAAATAAAAACATAAGGAAATACTAAGAACCAATCATAAACAAGCAATGGTTATAAGAGGCGTGTGTAACTGTAGCATTTCTTCAATCGGTGAAATCACATGTCCAAGAATCAAATTAAATGAAAAAAACAAGTAGAAGAAATCCAATAAATGGATAAACAAAGGTCCAACCAATATGAACACTCAAAGGTCAACATAGGACTCAATTGAAGCTGAAAAGAGAGCTTTAAAGACTTGTAGTCAAACTGTATGAACTTTATGAAGAATGCAACCTGATTGTCCTGTACTAGACAATTACATATACATAAAACCAAGCATATAAAAAACCCCAACTAATAGTAGCTAACGGAGCAAAGAAAAGCCATCAAAACAACTAAACAATTATAAGCACAGAATGGTTGATCTACCCAGATGTACCCAGAAACTCTGAAACTCTAATACTCTAATAAGGGAAAACCCTAAAAAAATAGATAAAACAAGGGAAAGAGAGTAAGACGAGAAAAAGGGGGTGAAAATATTTGCCTCCTGTGGTTGTTAAAATTAAGATTATTAGTACACTAAAGCCAGCATAATCCTCAATTTTACAACATGACAGGAACTTATTTTGCAGTTCCAATGCTGTGAAAGAAGAGAAAAGGCAGTGTTCAATGACGGTCAGAAATAAAAGTCAGAAGCGTAAACTTACTGGACATAAAATCCGCCACATGTAAAATGTCAGAAAGCGAGGCACCCACCATGGAAAGTGGATGAAGCCGCTGCTCCTCGCACAGAGTGTGCCCCAAACAATGGAACTATCCCCTCCAAAAACAGAAGCCAACAAACTCATCTGGCCAAAGTAGTGACCAAAAATGGACCATAAGGTCGAACATACAAGATGAGTAGTTGACGTGAAGAAGGGGGCCACATTGTAATGGTAGCCTCCATATAGCGCTATAGCATTGACACAATGCAAAGTTGAGGGTCCAAAGTAAAAAAGGGATAGAAAACTGAGGATGAATCTAATTTCGTATGATGGGAAAGTGAAAGGTAACCACTTCGGCGGAAAAAGTTAAAGTATTCACTTCGAACACGTTATCGTTTGAAACCTACCGGAAGAAAACCAAACAAAGGAAAAAAGTAAATTTGGCCATAAGTGGACGCAGGGAAAGTCTGTTGTTAGCAGGCCAATCATGTACATATTGTAGAACGATACCGACGTCCCAGAGCCGTGCATATTTAGGGCCCAGAAAACTAGTCTGATACCACAAAGTAGTCGACAAACAAGAGGATCTTGTTTGTCCCAAGTGTCCCTTGCAGTGGTATGTTAGCCACTGAAATGGTAGCACATTAACAGAGTGATATGATTTCCTGGTTGAAAAAAGATAAGAAAGGAAATTCAAGGAAACAGGGCCAGTAAAATGACCAAGACCCCTTTCCATATATTAATTGTTCCAAGATGCCAAAGGGAAAGGTAAAATCTTTTCGTCCCTGGTGCCGAGTAATCCCACAAGAGGTCCTTAGCCTCCTGCAATGGATCTCCAACACACAAGGAACCTCAGAAAGAGTCCAAGCCACCAGGAGAAGATAGCCATCCCTGAGCATCGGATGTGCTTCCCCTATTTTGTTCTTGAGGAGTAGCAGGTCATCCAGTAAGAGTAGGGGATCCTTTTAGGACAATTTTAGAAGATCCAGGAACCAGGATTGACTCGGCCACAGTGGTGTTAGAAAAGTCATCGCTACTCTTTGCAGATAAATCTGGGGGGGACCATTGCCATCATTACATAGGGCAAGAAGTCATAAGCTCTGTGACTTCGTCAATATTGCAGGAAGGCGTCCACTGTAATGCTCTCTGGATCCGTTAATCGGCTGTAAAATTCGGACATCTAGTGATTGTTGTGGGAGGCAAATAAGACGAGGCAATACGGATCCTTCTAACAGTTCAAGGTAGCAAAGGCCCATGCATTCAATTGCCAATCACAACCGTCACTACAGTGGGGGGAGATCCAATCTACCATGAGGTTGGATTCCCCTGGCAGGTGTTCCACTATCGCAGTGATGTCCATCCAAAGAAGAATACAACTGGACATTTCCTTTGCTAGACCAGACTATTGATGTGCATGGAGAGCTCCTGGGATGTCCACGTACCTCCCATGAAGGATCTGCCATCAGTGGGTCCCTAGCCACTCAGGTTGCCTGACTCTACTACAAAATCTGGACGATTGACAAATATGGCGTGACCGTTTCAGCCACCTTCAGAGTTCCAAATAAATCTCGTCCGACACCAGGACAGGTTGGTTGTAGATGGGATTCCGTTGGCGAAAACGAGTCTTGAGGCCTTGCATAGCTCTGTAGTGTAGCAGACCCAGAAATATTGCTTGGATTGAGGAGAACAGGAGATCAACTATCTGTGCGAGAGGTATGGATGATAGATGTAGCACTTTGCAAATTTCCTTGCGGATGGAGAGAACTTTCAAAGCAGAAGGATGCAGGGTACACAACCTGTAGTCAATTTCGAACCCCAGGAAATACGGGTCTGGGACGATTTGGCTTGAGTGACCATGAAGCCCAGCAATTCCAATAACCATAAGGTGTAGTTGGTGTGATCCTGCAACACCTACTTGTCTCTGCAAAAAATCAGAATTTCATCTATGTAGATGGTACATCGCATCTCACAAGATCGG